GTCTTACCTTAGACCCGCCCTGAGTGAGCTGTCATCAGTCCGCCATTGTGTCGACTCCGGTGCAGGGGAAGACAAGAATGTCTCAGATTAAGCGATTGATGTGTTTTGTTGTTGGATGTAATAATGAATATAGCAGTCGTCATTTACTCTGAAGCCGCTGAAGACGCAGAAGATTAACGTTACTTTCGTTTTTTAAGGGAATGCGCCGATCCCCGATCTGCCTAAATGCGTTTAAGTTCATGCGAATCATTCGTGATCCAGCTTCATCTACAGAGAAGTGAGTATAAGGGTTTTTTATGAATCTTTGCAAATCGCCTTTCCTAATAATGTGCTAGTTAGCAAGTTTCGCGGCTGAAGTTTACAGTCTGCTCGTAACCCCACAGAAGAGAGGGGCGGGGTCAGCAGAGCTTATTAGCATTTAAAGCAACATGGACTAGATTGGCTTGCTAAAAACAGAGCTGATTTTGACAGGGTAAAAAGGGTGTTTTTTACACTACCATTGAGAAATTTTAAGCAAAGTATGTTATAGACTTTTCATTAAGACCCTAAAGAATCATATCAACTTGTGGAAAATGGGCATCCAATGACCCCTTTAATGATAATAGAAAAAAGAATGTTTTAAATAAATTAAATAGTTGAAAAGGAAAATAAACTCGTTAAATATATGCACTATAAGTGTTCTATTTTTTCATGACATCCTAATTATTTATTGTATTTTTGAATTAATTTCTTAAAAAAAGTTTGAATAACCCATGTTTTTATGACAGCCACTATTATATCATTTGAAAACTGAGATTTCCTTTTTCATTGTGCATATACTAAAAATGTGTTTCTTGTCAAAATGACTCAAAATGATGGTGCAAGTCATTTAGAGACTATGGAAAAGTGGCAGAAACTGAGGGTCTGACTCTGACAAATCATTGGACTGGATTCTTGGTTGCCTTAATTTCAAATGTACCAGTTAATTGAAATTTCTAGATTAACAAATCTGTGAACTTCTAAATTCTATTTGCAACATTTGCCTTGCAATCCACAGCCTTCTTTGCTTGCTCTCATGCCAGATTAACCAACCGATTTTTGTGCATGCCCTCACAGAGATTGCATGCTATATTAAACCCTTTAAACCTGACCCATAGCAGCAAACATGGTGTTGAGCAAACTGACCTTTGTGTCTCAGCAACTGCCATGTGCACATTTCTCTCCACTAAACCAAGGTTATCAAAAGTCCCGAAGCCTGGGCACCATAACCAGCAAGGCCCGAACGCTGGCCGAGGTGGTATCAATGTCCACCGGGTCCTGCGGCCCACCTGTTCTCCTGCGGCGGTCCCATTCTCCAATCCCCTCCATTCTCTAAGAAATGGAGCAGTTAGTTAGAGCTGTCTCCCTGGGTCTTCCTCATGCTCTGCTGCCTTCTGTTCTCTGCGCTGTTTGATTTGGTCTGGTCTGTCTTGTTCTCTGGTCCTTGTTTTCTGGAGCTGTGTTTTTGTCTCCTCCCCTCCTCCTTTTCCTCTTCCGTCCGTTTTGCTTGTTTCTTGTCTTTACATACCGACTCTCAACTCATACAAAGCCATCAGAGAGAAAGAAAACCTCCAAATGATCTCAGGGAAATTTTTAAGGATTTCCTAGTTACGAGTGTTTATCAGACACAATAAAAGAACTGGGATGAGAAAGGTAAACCTTTCTTTTAGAGCACACTGTTGTTGTTCCTGGAACCACTTCAGAACTGGAAAGACTTGCATCCTCCCATCAAACGATTGAAATAATTATATTTTTAAGGATTTACTATCAATATTTACTCATAAATCCTCTCCTGTCTGAGTATATTCTCACATAAAACCCTTTCAGACACCTGGAAGATGAAAGCCTTTTTATCGGTTTCTTTTCACTGTTTGATTTTTACCGTACTTCCCCTTTGCTCTGGTGGAGTCTTCCTCCATTCTTTCTTCATCACCTCATTAACAAGACCCCAGGTAGGAGGTATCAGGACTCCCTTTTTCTCGCTGTCCACAGCAAACGTCTCTCCTTCCTCTGCACTTCTTTCACTGTCCCTGTGCATTTCTGTCCATCTCTCTTTCTCCGACCTCTTTAGCCCTGGATTGCGAAAGCAACCCAAATGAACGTTTTTACAATGCAGACAAAAGGGAAGTCTTATTTTCTCAGCCCATTTCCTCCTCATTCTGTGAGCTGAATGAAAACAAGGCCCAATGGCAGGATGACCCTGAGCAATCCCATCCTCCCCTGTATTTTCTACTGCAGATCCCTGCAAAGATGAAACTGCCCTAGTTAAGTATATGCAGTCAGAGGTGCTCAAAGTGACCTGAGAAGGCAGCAGCATCTCAAAACCTTGGTTTCCCTTCTCCAGCCTTGCTGGACTCCACACAATGGCCAGAGGGATTTCAGGCTGGAGTCCAAAGGAAGGACGTATATGTAGAAAGAGAGCACAATAGAGGATGTTGTAAGTCGATGCAGTGGCAAGCGTTTTTATCCAGATTCCGTCTGTCTGAAGAATCTCATGGACCAGGACTTTTTTAAAGGAAGACCTTAAGGACCATCGACAGAAGAGTGCAATGAGCGGATGGCTTTAAAGCCAGCAAAATGAGTTAATGAGTCATAATGCTAATGATAGTACATGCAGTGACAGATGTAGTGGACTATTACCTGTTCATTTTAGCATGAGCTGCATGGTGTTACACTAAAAAAAGAGGAAAATATTCTATATCTGTTATGAATCTGTCTGTACAAAACAAATATTTTCTTTCAAGAGTTCTTGACTTTTGCAGAATTGACATGTAGCCATGGATAATGAGATGTTCAGAGACCATGTTCTTTATTTCAGCAACTGATTTCTTCATTCTGTCTTTGTTGTTAACCACATGACTCGGCTCTGGTCACATTGACCATAAATTCTGAATGAGACGATAGTGGTTACTGCCGTCATATAGATTGTAAATTCCACTCTTCAACTTTGTTTCTGTCTGGCATGCTTGTGATTCTGGATCTTATTGAGAAAAAAAACTGAGCAAAATGAGTTATTTTTCTGTTTTATGTCTTACTTATTGGTGAATAGATCCTGTGGAAACTGTCGTGAGCAACTGTTTATTTCACATATCAAGTGCAGACTTTTAACAGTGTTATTTTTGGAGAAAAAACATCAAAAAACGAGAAAAACTGCATCCTGTTGAGATGTTTTACATTTTCTCTCATTACTTTTAGGTACTAAAACACAAAGAAAAGCAAAAAAGACTAATGTATATTTACACTATAAGAGAATTGTATGCAATTTAGCTAACTTTGGGGAAAAACAAATGCATGCACTATGTTATGCAACAATAACTGCATAGAAAAACAGGAAAACATGACTACAACCATAGCATGAAATAAATTTTCTATGAAACCTGTTAGAGGGCTTGGGTTTTTTATTTATTTATGAATTTTTTTCATTGATTGCAGTGGAATGTTTGTTTTATTTCTGTTTCTCTCATTGGACGATGTGCCAATACTCTCTTTGACCTGAAGTCGACAGACACAAAGAGCTGAATTGGAAGGTCTTTGATGCGAATGAAAAGAAAAAGAAAACATGTCTCCAGGTGGAGCAGCATGGCAGACTGCACTGATGAGCATGGTGATGAATTAAACCATTAACATTTGAAGGAAACAGTGAAACACCTGCATGCTGTGAACGAGCTGAAGTTTTGAACAAGCGGTGTCAACATACACTCTGCTCAATGAGGTATGATGCTAAAGCCTGCCTTATACGCCTGCTAAACATGCTTGCTAGCAGACCTCATTATTGTCACCTTCTGCTCTCCTTTCATCCCTTCCTCCTACTCCTCCTGACCCCTTCCATGCTCGCACGTCATCCCGCACCCTCTTCACCCGTCTTTGTTCTCTAGGTGTCTGGGTAATAACTCGTCTGTTGTCTCTCTTCTTTTTCATGTCTGTAGAGGCTTCTCGGCAGGGCCGGCACAAACCGCCTGCAGACTCTGTGTGTGTCATGAATCGTGGTGTTCCAACCACTGTGTGCATGGCCCAGAACACCCCTCCCACTTCTTGATAACGCTCTAGAAGTCTGTTTGTTGTACACGAATGGGTGGAAGACCCCATTCTACACATTTAAATATATTTCAAAGGGACTTTTTTTTGTCGGTGGCTGATAGTACTGTCAACTTGTAGTGGTGTGTAAAATGTGTATTTGAGTGCATGCGTGTTAAATATGTGTGTGTTTTTGTACGTGTGTCTGTACTGTAAATATGCTTTTCGTGTTGCCCACGCTTGCGACTGAATATTTAGAGTATCTAGTGTAATCTTTACAGGGTTATCAGGTTAAACCTATTCAATAACTTTTTGCTCTTTTTGTGAATCACAACAAATATTCACAAAGCTGCCTTTAAATTAGAATGGGCTCAAACTAATGATGTTGTTCTTTGTTGTGCTGCTGCTATAAGTCATCAGTTGCCTTTGTTTGCTGTTTGCACTTTTACAGTAAACTTTTACATTCCGGGGCTCAACAATAAGAATTCTTTGAATGTACATTAATTCATTTCCTTACATCAAAATTGACAACAAATACATTATTAGGTTTTTACAAGTTTTATTAAAGGGTTTGAAATTCTATCATTGTTTACTCCACCTTATCTTGTTCCAAACTGGTGGCGTGATTTCTTCCTATGGAACATGAAAGAAGATATTTTCAAGAATGTTCATTTCTCATTGACTTCCATTGAATTTTTTGTCCATACAGTGGTAATCAATGGGAAACTGGTTTCTAATATTCTTCATAATATGTTCTTTTATGTTCTGCTGAAGAAAGAAATGCATACAGGTTTTGAACAACATTGAGGGTGAGTAAGTTGTGACAGAATTTTCATTTTTGTGTGGACCAGTTTTTAAAGAAATTTCACAGTAAGTTAGTAAGACAAATAACCTTGATCTTGGTGGCCTTTTTCAGCAGATTTTGCAGACCTTGCAAACATTTTCTATGTATTTCTGTATATAGAGATCAATAAACATAGTGAAAATATAGCCCTGGTCTGACTGATCATCTGACAACTGAGCCAAACCCCTGAACCCTTATTGTTGAGCCCTGTATTTGCTTAGTTTATGAATGTTAGTGGACAAATTGTATGTATTTATAATGTTCTTAATTCCATTCTAACGCTTTCTTTCCTTGAACCCAGCAAGGACATCAGTATACTCCAGTGAAAGCAAGTGGTTATTTAAATGAAGTGAGATTTTAAACTTTTTAAACAGAAAGTATGTCCAACACACATTGATGTGTTCTTTTAGAATCATACAGTAAAAACTGACATCAGTATATCTATATCCAGTTAGTTTGAAGTAAACTCACTGCCAATTTAATGGAATTTTTAAAATCTACAGGTGAAGAAACCAGATTAAGAAGTAGCAATACTTCCTAAGAAGCTTTGTTGCAAATGTTGTGTTGAATGAGACTTTAATTCTCTCAAATAGATTCCAAAATAGATATTACTAAAACAGTACATTTAATACAATCAAAAATTTTCACAAATAAAAAACATATGCCTTTTAATTAATTAATTTATTTTTTACATTATAGCACAAGGCTACACTTCTTTAGATTGAGTGGTTCACTTTAAAACAAAAATAAGCTTACAGATAAATGTCTTTATATTTCAAAGGGGTCATGAACTGAGAAACCAAATTTCCCTTCCTCTTTTCACATATAAGAGATCATTGTACTATAAAAACATCCTGTAAGTTTCAAAACTCAAAACTCTCTTGTTATAAAAACAGCTTATATTGAAGCCAGTCTGCCAAAACGACAGCTTGTGGAATGTACAACTATGATGCAATAGTGTGGATAAGCACCACCTCCGCAGAAGAAGATCTTCTGCTTCTACAGTGCTGACTGTTTAGCCCCGCCCACCGATTCGCGCATGTAGTGTTTATGAGAGAGGTGAACGCACAGATCTACACAGAAACCAAACAATAAAGATGCTCCAAACACAACAAGAGGCCAAGTTGTGGAAAAAACAGTCTTTGTATTGCCTTTCTTCTGATCCCAACATTAGGAAAGAGTGGATGAACTTTATTTTTAATTAAGTTTTAGACCGCGTCAGTAAGAACTTGGTCGTTTGTTCACTTCATTTTACCGTGGATTCGTTTACAAACAAGGCACAATTTTGACGAATAAAAGACGATGCTGTGCCGACTATACTGGATCTGACAGCAAATGTCGCAACACAAGTGTGAGTAACTGTTTTTATTACGTGTCACTATTGCTTCATCTGTTATTACCATAGACTGTATAAAAACATGGACGTAGTGTCCGTGACGTCACCCGTAGGTTTCTGAAGAGCGGTTTTACTGACTGATCATCTGACAACTGAGCCAAACCCCTGAACCCTTATTGTTGAGCCCTGTATTTGCTTAGTTTATGAATGTTAGTGGACAAATTGTATGTATTTATAATGTTCTTAATTCCATTCTAACGCTTTCTTTCCTTGAACCCAGCAAGGACATCAGTATACTCCAGTGAAAGCAAGTGGTTATTTAAATGAAGTGAGATTTTAAACTTTTTAAACAGAAAGTATGTCCAACACACATTGATGTGTTCTTTTAGAATCATACAGTAAAAACTGACATCAGTATATCTATATCCAGTTAGTTTGAAGTAAACTCACTGCCAATTTAATGGAATTTTTAAAATCTACAGGTGAAGAAACCAGATTAAGAAGTAGCAATACTTCCTAAGAAGCTTTGTTGCAAATGTTGTGTTGAATGAGACTTTAATTCTCTCAAATAGATTCCAAAATAGATATTACTAAAACAGTACATTTAATACAATCAAAAATTTTCACAAATAAAAAACATCTGCCTTTTAATTAATTAATTTATTTTTTACATTATAGCACAAGGCTACACTTCTCTAGATTGAGTGGTTCACTTTAAAACAAAAATAAGCTTACAGATAAATGTCTTTATATTTCAAAGGGGTCATGAACTGAGAAACCAAATTTCCCTTCCTCTTTTCACATATAAGAGATCATTGTACTATAAAAACATCCTGTAAGTTTCAAAACTCAAAACTCTCTTGTTATAAAAACAGCTTATATTGAAGCCAGTCTGCCAAAACGACAGCTTGTGGAATGTCACTCAAGTGGCCACGCCCTTAATTATGCAGAACTTTAAGGCTTAATATAATTTAAACGGATGAGTTATAAAATTCACCCCCCTCACAGTTGTCATGAAAGGCAAAAAGTTGGGCATTTTAACATGGGATAGTCTATGGGACTGACTCCCTTTTGGAGCCAGCCTCTAGCGGCCAGTCGATGAATTGCAGTTTTAGTCACTTCCGTGTTGGCTTCACGAGAGAGACCGGAAGGTTGCCGCTTGGTTATTACAGATCATTTGATATGTACTGAGTATTTATGCGGTTTTAACCTAAATCACAGCAGCGTCCATAATTGAAGGATGTAGGCTATCAAACATACACAACTATTAGCCAATCATAGCAGTGGGCGTTTACTTCCGAGTCTACAATCTGCAAGGCCTATTCAAACAGATGAGGGGCGTCAAAAACAGGACAGAGAATAGCCTATAACTTCTAAATTATGATGTTTTTGATGTAAATATCTTAACATTATAAGTGGACCTCAGAGAACAGT